ACAAAGACAAAAGAAAAGAAAGAAGAAAGTAGTTAATGGCCAGGCACAGTGACTCATGCACTTTTGGAGGCTGAAGCGGGAGGATCACTTGAGCCTAGGAAATTTGAGACCAGTCTGGGCAACATAGCGAGACTCCGTCTCTACAGAAAATTAGCTGGATGTGGTGGCCCATGCCTGTAGTCCCAGCTGCTTGGGAGGCTGAGGTAGGAGGATTGCTTAGCTCATGAGGTTGAGGCTGTGTTGAGCCAAGTCACACCACTACACTCCAGCCTGGGGGACAGAGCAATGCTCTGTTTAAAAAAAAAAAAAAAAGTAGTTAACATATTTTACTTCTCTATGAAAGTGCTTCAAGTAAGTGGCATAACTTAAAAATAGAAAATGCTTACAATGTATGTTTGTTCCTTAGAGATTCCATTTCTGTCTTGCAGCTCAGGCTGGGGGCTTTGTGAAGATCCCTCTCTTGAGGAGGTGTCCACGGCTTGGGAGACAGCATGGGCGGTGTCCCCTCCTCTGTAACCGGAAGGCAGAACATGTGCTGACAGCTGAGAGAGAGAAGGAACCTATTTTCTCCTCCCTTCTAAAGCTCTCCAATAAACGATTGTAACAATTGATCTCTGTGTGGTGAATCAGATACTCATTACATCTTGCTGAGCAAGACACTTAAACCGAGCAGAATTCCTTTTCTAGTGACCTCTTCTCTCCTCTTAATGGGCAGCGATCCCTGAACCACAGGGGCTTCTTGTTGGCCCAGGTCACAGGCTTACAGCCTCCAGCAACGCACACAGTAGTTTTAAACAGGAAAGGGAGAAGGGAACTCTGCCATAAAAGGCCTCGTGTGATCTGCTGTGCGGCAGACAACTGTGCACAGGTCCTTGAAGTGCTAAAGAAAGTCAGAGAAAGGAAGTTTGCCGAGGGGTGCTCGGGATATTTTTGGCAGTGATTTTTCTCACTACGTGTACTGTGTGTTTGCGTCTATTACGATGTTTACTGCAACTTGGAAAAGAATAGCTAGTAAATTAGGATTTGATGAACTTCTCAGCTGGAGAGAGCTGGATCTTACAGAGAAACACCATTTGGGATTTGAGATGTGTTCTCTTTGTGGTTTCATTTTGATGTTAGGATAAGGAAGGGAAAAAACACTTCCAGAAGGCAGACACAGCTTGTTGTGTCCAGTCCATGGAAGAAACGTCAACGTGTTTGAAGTGAGCATTGCAGTTGTTTTGTCTAAATTAGATGAAGGGCTCTGGGCTTTGGCCGCCTCCCCATACATCCTTTTATACTTTTCGTTTGGTTGATGCATTTTTTTTTTTTCCTCAAGCTTCTGCCTGATTTCAGCAAGTGTTTGGTGCTGCTGGGTAATGTCTTTACTATTAAACTATTTGGATTTTACTCACTTTTCAAGATCAGTGGCTTCTTTGGTTGTTCCTGGGTAGGAGTTAGAAAGCTCCACAACATCTCTTCCACCCTCTGCCTTCAAGGGATAGTCACCCCACAAATGTGATTGTTTCTGGACTTGTCGAGAGCCCTGAGCAATACAGTATGAAATAGTTTAGGCCTGGGCTGGAAGGAAATGATGAATGCTTTCCTTAGAGGAGGTGATTGGGGGTTTGGATGGAGGGATCTCAGGGCAAAACCCCACTTCCTGGAAGGATAATTAGTGTGTAGAAAGGTAAGCAGACCCTGTTCTTGCAGAAAGTCCCTTGTAATTATCCCAATAGGAATGTACTCAGGACATATTTTTGCCCTTTATTAAAGGGGTTTTGGACCCATTGAATGATCAACGTTCAGCCTCTTGTCCCAAGGAGAGTTTCACAAAGGCCAAACTCCCCTTTCCTCATATTTTGCATGCCAAGGAAGTAATATCCAAAAAGTAGTGGTGCATTTGTTAAACTCTGCTTTTTAGATCTCTCTGTCTCTCCACGCATGCCATATATAACACATGCATTATATTTAGTGTATGGTATATTTAATAAAACAAAATGCATAGAAAGGTTGCTTAAAGATCTTAAGTGTGTGTTTGTACTGTCACCGCAGTGAAATTTGGAGATAAAAGTTTTCTAAAATCTTGTTTTAGAAACAAGGTTATTGTCATCAGTGATAATAAAAGATAATAGGCTCTTGAAAATCTATTGGAGAGACATTTTTCCTCACTAACCCTATGTGATCTCTTTTTTTTTTTTTTTTTGAGACAGAGCCTCACTCTGTCACCCAGGCTGGAGTGCAATGGCTCGATCTTGGCTCACCGCAACCTCCACCTCCCCGGTTCAAGCAATTCTCATGCCTCAGCCTCCTGAGTAGCTAGGATTACAGGCATGTACCACCATACCCAGCTAATTTTTTGTATTTTTAGTAGAGATGGGATTTCACCATGTTAGCCAGGATGGTCTCAAACTCCTCACCTCGTGATCCACCCCCCTCAGTTTCCCAAAGTGCCGGGATTACAGGCGTGAGCCACCATGCCCGGCCAATCTTTTAATTTTAATTTAAAAACTTTCTGAGACAGGGTCTCACTCTGTTGCTCAGGCAGGAGTGCAGTCACGGCTCACTGCAGCCTCAGACTCCTCAGCTCAAACAATCCTCCTGTCTAAGTCTCCCAAGTAGCTGAAACTACAGGCATGCACCAACACTCCTGGCTCATTTTAAACTTTTTTATAGAGATGGGGGTCTTGCCACATTGCCCAGGCGATCATTTTTATTTTTAATTTCTACTTTACTAGAATATTGAATCAACATTGGTCAATCAATGAGTGGATAAAGAAATTGTGGCTATAAAAAGGAACACAATAATGGCATTTGCAGCAACCTGGATGGAATTGCAAAACCATTCTCTTTTTTTGTTTTTCTTTGAGATGAAGTCTCCACGGTCGCCCAGGCTAGAATGCAATTGCATGATCTCCGCTCACTGCAACCTCCACCTCCTAGGTTCAAGGGATTCTCCTGCCTCAGTCTCCTGAGCAGCTAGGATTTTTGGTGCCCGCCACCACGCCAGGCAATTTTTTGTATTTTTAGTAGAGACGGGGTTTCACCATGTTGGTCAGGATGGTCTTGAACTCCTGACCTCAGGGGATCCACCTGCCTTAGCCTCCCAAAGTGCTGGGATTACAGGCGTGAGCCACCGTGCCCAGCGTGGAAACCATTATTCTAAGTGAAGTAACTCTGGAATGGAAACACAAACATTGTATGTTCTCACTCCTAAATGGGAGCTAAGCTATAAGGATGCAAAGGCATGAGAATCATACAATTGACTCTGGGACTCAGGGGAAAGGGTGGGAAGGGGTGAGGGATAAAAGACTACACACTGGTTCAGTGTACACTGCTTGGGTGGTGGGTGCAGCAAAATCTCAGAAAACTACACTAGAAAGCTTATTCATGTAACCAAGTACCACCTGTTTCCCAAAACCCTATTTAAATTAAAGGAAAGAATATTAGGCTGGGCGCAGTGGCTCACACTTGTAATCCCAGCACTTTGGGAGGCCGAGGCAGGCAGATCACAGGTCAGGAGATCAAGACCATCCTGGCTAACCTGGTAAAACCTCGTCTCTACTAAAAATAAAAAAAAATTGAGCCAGGCCTGGTGGTATGCATCTGTAATCTCAGCTACTCCTGAGGCTGAGGCAGGAGAATTGCTTGAACCGGAGAGGCAGAGGAGGTTGCAGTGAGCCAAGATTGTGCCACTGCACTCCAGCCTGGGCAACAGAGGGTGACTCCGTCTCACAAGTAATAATAATAATAATAATAATAATAATAATAATAATATTGAGGCGTTGGGAATGGGGTAGGTTTTCCATTGCACTCTTTGGTGTGAAATGTGACCCTCAGGCCCTGCCTCTGGGTGTTGAACTGCTGCCCTTCCATCTGCCTGCAGGGACTTTTCTGGCTGTGTGAGCATCCTGCCAACTAAGCTTTTAAAACACAAGAGTCTTTTCTCCCTGCCGTTTGCTCTCGGGTGCTGAGAAGTTGCTTTATCAGATGCTCATCCTTAACTAATTTAATTCTCCCTGGTAATTCTCTCTTCTGAGGTTTACCTTTCTTTGTCTGTTTTCGAATGTGCCAGCTTAAAGATATCTGAGAAAGGAAAAAAGTTATTTTTTAAAAAAATTGATCAATGAGTCAAAGCTTTTTGTGAGAAATCGGTTGACTGTCTCAAACTTAGAAAATTCTTAATTATCCATGCTTAACAGTGTCTGTGAAGAGAGATGTCACTGAAATACATAAAGCTTTTGGTAAACCAATGGTACAACTTATTTCTCCAGCACACTTTAAATTTATTTATTTATTTATTTTTATTATTTATTTATTTATTTTTTTGAGGCAGACTCTTTCTCTGTTGCCCAGGCTGGAGTGCAATGGTGCAATCATAGTTCACTTGAGCCTGAAACTCCTGGCTTAAACCATCTTCCTGCCTCAGCCTCCCTTGTAGCTGGGACTACAGGCACATGCCACCATTGCCTGGATAATTCAAAAAATTTTTTTGCAGAAATGGGGGTCTCGATATACTGCCTGGGCTTATCTCAAACTTCTGGCCTCTAGTGATCCTCCCACCTCAGCCTCCCAAAACATTGGCATTACAGGTGTGAGCCACCTCTCCCTGCCCTTAAACTTATTTTAAATTACAGCTCCTTTCTTTTTCCTGCCCAATATTTGATTATATAAAGAAACACAGGCCGGGCGCGGTGGCTCACGTCTGTAATTTCAGCACTTTGGGAGGCTGAGGCGGGTGGATCACGAGGTCAATAGATCGAGACCATCCTGGCCAACATGGTGAAACCTCGTCTCTACTAAAAATACAAAAAAATTAGCTGGGCATGGTGGTGCATGCCTGTAGTGCCAGCTACTTGTGGGGGGCTGAGGCAGGGGAATTGCTTAAACACGGGAGGCGGAGGTTGCAGTGAGCCGAGGTCGCGCCACTGCACTCCAGCCTGGCCCCTGGTGACAGAGTGACACTCTGTCTCAAAAAAAAAAAAAAAAAAAGAACCGGTTGTGTAAGTTTTGCAGCCTAGGCTCCTGACACTACCCTGGTCCTGGTGGCGGCAGCGGCGGCAGCCCTGGAGCCGGCCGACCCCCCTCCCGCGATGCCGCAGGCGGCAGGAGCTGGAGGGCCCACAGCCCGCAGGGATTTCTACTGGCTGCGCTCCTTTCTGGCCGGAGGTATTGCTGGATGCTGTGCCAAAACAACAGTTGCCCCATTGGATCGAGTAAAAGTTTTATTACAAGCTCACAATCACCATTACAAGCATTTAGGAGTATTTTCTGCATTGTTTGCTGTTCCCCGAAAAGGATTCCTTGGATTGTATAAAGGAAATGGTGCAATGATGATTCGAATCTTTCCCTATGGCGCAATCCAGTTTATGGCATTTGAGCATTATAAAACGCTTATTACTACAAAGCTGGGAGTTTCAGGTCATGTGCATAGATTAATGGCTGGATCCATGGCAGGTATGACAGCAGTTATCTGTACTTACCCTCTTGACATGGTTAGGGTCCGCCTAGCATTCCAGGTGAAAGGGGAACACACCTATACAGGAATTATTCATGCATTCAGAACTATTTATGCAAAGGAAGGTGGTTTCTTCGGATTTTACAGAGGCCTGATGCTTATTATTTTAGGAATGGCTCCATATGCAGGTGTTTCATTTTTCATTTTTGGTACTTGAAAGAGTGTTGGGCTTTCCCATGCCCCTACCCTTCTTGGCCGACCTTCATCAGACAATCCCAATGTCTTAGTTTTGAAAACTCACATAAACTTACTTTGTGGTGGTGTTGCTGGAGCAATAGCACAGACAATATCCTACCCGTTTGATGTAACTCGTCGGCGAATGCAATTAGGAACTGTTCTGCCAGAATTTGAAAAGTGCCTTACCATGCGGGATACTATGAAGTATGTCTATGGACACCATGGAATTCGGAAAGGACTCTACCGTGGTTTATCTCTTAATTACATTCGCTGCGTTCCCTCTCAAGCAGTAGCTTTTACAACATATGAACTTATGAAGCAGTTTTTTCACCTCAACTGAAAAAAAATCATCTTTTGTTTTTCTTAATACATTCTCAGAGGGAGAAATGAAATGTTACTTTAATTGTGGGGGGAACAGTACTTGAATGGGGATAGTTACCCTGTCACAGGAACCACTGGTATTTTAGTACTTGATTATTTTTTCTTCAGTCACAAATCAGAAGTGCTTACTATACTTCTTGATGCCAAACATTATACCTTAGAACACTGAAAAAAAATTTTTTTTTTTTTTGAGACGGAGTTTCGCTCTTGTTACCCAGGCTGGAGTGCAATGGCTCGATCTCGGCTCACCTCAACCTCCGCCTCCTGGGTTCAGGCAATTCTCCTGCCTCAGCCTCCTGAGTAGCTGGGATTACAGGCATGCACCACCATGCCCAGCTAATTTTTGTATTTTTAGTAGAGACGGGGTTTCACCATGTTGACCAGGATGGTCTCGATCTCTTGACCTCGCGATCCACCCGCCTCGGCCTCCCAAAGTGCTGGGATTACAGGCGTGAGTCACTGCGCCCTGAAAAAATATTTTTAAGCTGATGGTGGCTAAACTGCTTTAAAAGTTTTATTTGGAAGTAGAACTAGCTTTAAAATGGGATTCAAGAGGTTGCCATTGGCTTTTTCTTGCTGTTCAAAGTTTTTTTTTTTTTTTTTTTTCTTTGAGACAGAGTCTTGCTCTGTGGTCTAGGCTGGAGGCAGTGGCATGATCTTGGGTCACTGCATCCTCCGCCTCCCTGGTTCAAGCAATTCTCTGCCTCAGCCTCCCAAGTAGCCGGGATTATAGGCATCCACCACCACGCTTGGCTAATTTTTTATATTTTCAGTAGAGATGGGGTTTCACCATCTTGGCCAGGTTGGTCTTGAAGTCCTGACCTCATGATCCACTCCCTCTCAGCCTCCCAAAGTGCTGGGATTACAGGCGTGAGCCACCATGCCTGCCTGTTCAAAGTTTTAAATTGTATTCTTGGTTTTTAAAAGACTGACAGTGTTTATTATTATTAAAATAAGCTGTGTTGCTTATATTGCAGTAGAATAATGAGAACTGAATTTTTAAGTTCTATGAAACAGCCAGCATTGAAGTTTTTATTTTTGTTATTGCTCTTCTCACCATTCTGCTCCACTGGATAATAGAGAACACTCTTTTTCCTTCATTTTTTAAATAAAATTAAGGTTATATTTAAAAAGTAGCCATGTAGAGACTCAAAAATAAATGAAGAAGCTAGGCACTGTAGCATGGGCATGTGGTCCCAGCTACTCTGGAAGCTGAGGTGGGAGGTTCACTTGAGCCCTGGAATTTAATGCCAGCCTGTGCAACATCATGAGACCCCATTTAATAAATGAATGAATGACTAAAAAAAAAAAAAAAAAAAAAAAAAAAAGAACCACATAAAATGTGCCTAAGGCAGTATGGCAGACAAGTAGATTAAAACGGAGCATTAAAAGTAAGGATCATTTACTAATGGAATAACTAACTGAAAGTTGAAACATGATTTTAAGGAAAAAAAAAAAAGGTACAGGTTTCTTTGTTTTAGCAACCCACTGCCCTTATCATGACCATTACATTTATTAAAACCATCAAAAAAGCAAAAGAACAAATTAGGAGAGACGGAAGGTATAATGGTGGTTCTAGGGCCTGGGCTGGGGAATAGGAGTTTATATTTAATGGATCACAGTTTAAGTTTGGGAAGATGAAGCAAGTTCTGGAGATGAATGGTGGTGATGGTTGCACAACAATGTGACTGTACTTCATGCTACTGAGTTGTAGAGTTAAAAATGGCTGGCCAGGCGCGGTGCCTCACGCCTGTAATGCCAGCACTTTGGGAGGCTGAGGTGGGCGGATCACAAGGTCAGGAGACCAGCCTGGCCAATATGGTAAAACCCTATCTCTACTAAAAAAAAAACAACCAACCAAAAATTAGCCAGATGTGGTGCCCACTTGTAGTCCCAGCTACTTGGGAGGTTGAGACGGAGAATCACTTGACCCCAGGAAATGGAGGTTGCAGTGAGTGGAGATCACATCACTGCACTCCAGCCTGGGCAACAGAGTGATACTCTGTCTCAAAAACAAAAAAAAAAATGGCTAAAATTATAAATTTTATATATGCATGTTGTACCACAATAAAAGTAGGCTAAAAAAGGCCAGGCCAGGTGGCTCATGCCTGTAATCCCAGCACTTTGGAAGACCGAGGGGGCAGATCACCTGAGGTCAGGAGTTCAAGACCAGCTTGGCCAACATGGCAAAACCCCATGTCTACTAAAAATATTAAAAAATTAGCCAGGCGTGGTGGTGGGAGCCTGTAATCCCAGCTACTTGGGAGGCTGAGGCAAGAGAATCACTTGAACATGGGAGCTGGTGACAGAGAAGGACTCCGTCTAAAAAAAAAATCATTAGCTGGGTCTGGTGGTGCATGCCTGTAATCTGAGCTGCTCAGGAGAATCACTTGAACCCAGGAAGCAGAGGTTGCAGTAAGCCAAGATCATGCCACTGCACTCTGCCTGGGCGACAGGGTGAGACTCTGTCTAAAAATAAAAACAAAAAGAAAAAAGAGTAATGCTAGAATTGGCCAGAAGAAGCACCCAAATGAATTCACTAGAAAGTTTGTTGTTTGAGTCTTAGGAGAAAATAACTAACAGTGTTCTTGAAAGAAACATCGGGTATATGAAATGAGAGGGGAAAAAAGCTTAACAACTAGCATTTATAGGGTATACAGCAGGGAGTAAAACACATGTGAAAAATACCATGATAGAAAGCCTTTATTTAAAGTGTGGTTGAAGGCTGCTGACTCATTGGATAACTGAAGTATTTGTGGCTTGAGTAATGGCTAAGCCAAGAATCCTGGAGTCAGTGAGACTCTTTCTTCCTTGGAAAAAGAAAAAAAAGAAATATTAAGTAAATTCTATCCCATTCTGTCTTGGATATTTTGTTCAACAATGATTTTGACCAATCCCAAATTCTTGAAATGAAGGAGGAATGTTCCGTGTTTTTGTAACCTTGATTAAGTGTGATATTATTCCAAGAAAGAAGCAGTATCCAGATGGGGCAGGAGGCGCAAGGAAAGAGCTAAATCAGGAATTCATTTTTTGTTCCCAGTCAGATGATGAGTGTCTTATGGACGGGGTCAACGCCGCATCTGATCTCATCCCAAGAAAACACTCTTTAACCAGCTGGGCAGAATGTCTGTGCTGAAGTGAGAAGTAACTTCATTGACTAAACATCTGAAGGCCTTATTCCACACCTGTAATCCTAGCACCTTGGGAGGCTGAGGCAGGTGGATCATCTGAGGTCAGGAGTTCGAGACCAGCCTGGCCAACATGGTGAAATCCCATCTCTACTAAAAATACAAAACCTAGCTGGGAGTGGTAGTGTGCGCCTGTAATTCCACCTAGCTGGCAGGCTGAGGCAGGAAGATAGCTTGAGCCCAGGAAGCAAAGTTTGCGGTGAGCCGAGATCACGCCATTGCACTCCAGCCTGCGCAACAGGGTGAGACTGTGTCGCAAAACAAACAACCAAACAATGAAACAAACAAACTCCAAACATCTGAAGACAATCTGACATTATTCTGCTATGGTATTTTATCTTACATTATTCTGATGCTGATTATTTATCTTCCTAAGGTTGCCTTTATCTCAGTGTTTTGTGGCAGGAATAAAGTGATCTTTATGAATCACGTGCTTGGAACTGCAATGGCCCAGAGATGCAGCTTCCTTCAAAGTCCACACCTACTAGGTTAGCAAGACTGTAGTTATCTTAGGGAGGCTGTTGAGCATGGTCAGGTGAAGATGTTCTGCAATCAGACTTCCTGGGTATGAATCCGAGGTCTGCCCCTTGTCAGAGACCTTAGATACTGACCCACATCTGTGTTTCAGTTTCTCATCTCTAACGTGAGAATGATCAGACCAGGCCTCACGTCAAAGGATTGTCATGAAAATGTGATTTAAAACATGCAAAGTACTCAGAACAGTGCTTGGTGTGTAGGAAGTGGGTTATAAAAGTTGACTATTATGACTATTAATCATTGACTTTGGAGGAGTCACGGCTAAAACAGTGAGAGCGAAAGCTGTTTTGTAATTCTATAGCTTGGGAATCAGAAACCAGTCAGCATTTGCATTGGGGAGTTCAAAACTCCTGGCTGCTATAAGCATGTAGAGCTGAAAATAAAATATTGGTGTCAATAATCGTTCATGCATGCATGCATTCATTGATTGATTGATCATGTGTCAGGAACTCGAGATACCAAGTCAATTATGGCATGATCATCGACCCCGTGATGCTCAGTGCGGTGATAGAAACACTCACATGAACAGACTATTATGCAATATGTAGGTGCAAAGATGGCGATATATATACAAGGTAGTACTGAAATGTGATGGAGGGGAACTTCAGCTGGGAGTAGGGAAGAAGAAAAAGTCATAGTTCTTGGAGGAAGTAATCCCAGAAGATACCTGCTTTGTCAAATAAAAAATTAATTCTTAAACATCTGGAAATGTTTCAGTCCGTGTCTTCAAAATACAAGGATTTTCTCTTTCAACATAATCAAAATATCATTATTACTTCTAAAACACATAACAATGGTTGCTTAACTATGATAAAAATAACCAGGAGGTTTTGGCTGGGCATAGTGGCTCACGCCTGTAATCCCAGCACTTTGGGAGGCCAAGGCGGGCGGATCACGAGGTTAAGAGATCAAGACCATCCTGGCCAAGACGGTGAAACCTTGTCTCTACTAAAAATACTAGCCGGGCGTGGTGGCATGCTCCTGTGGCCCCAGCTACTCGGGAGGCTGAGGTGGAAGACTCACTTGAACCCAGGAGGCGGAGGTTGCAGTGAGCTGAGATTGCGCCACTGCACTCCAGCCTGGTGACAGAGCAAGACTCTGTCTCAAAAAAAAAAAAAAAAAAAAAAAAGAAATATATATCTCCAGGAGGTTTTCAATCATCTCATCTGCCATTTTTTTTTAGTTGGTTTGTTTGAATCAAGAAGCATATAAGGTCACCTTGTGATAAGTAGTG